ACACGTTTAATTATGTTAGACCACCATATTCGAAACTTCCATACTGGAGTACAAGCGCTCTTGCTCAGTGTTAGACAAAATTTTTGGCAGTTAAGTGGACGAAATCTTGCTAGAAGAATCACTAGAGAATGTGTAATGTGTGCCAAGGTAAAACTATTATCACTATATCAAAGGATGGATAATTTACCGTTAGAAAATTTAAAATCCTTCCTTTTTCTTTAATCACATTTAATTTATGTGGGCCCCTTTCCATAAAACACACAAATCAGACGAAGGGCATATTACACGATATTTATCTTGCAATTTTCGTTTGCCTCTCGACTCGTGCTGTTTATGATTTAGCAATTGTTTCAAATTTGTCTACAGAGTCATTTATTGCAGTCTTTAAACGAGTCATTTCTAGAAGAGAGAAATGTGCATCCATATTTAGCGACAATGCTCGAAATTTCGTTAAGACTAACAATGAACTCAAGAGACTATACACTGACTACCAATCAGTATTTGGATACCTGTGATAGAAAAGAAAAACTAACTTTATTCAAAATCAATAGTTCGTAGAGCCTCCACAAGACGTAATTACAGCGTGGACCCTCCGGGGCATACTTTCTACAAGTCTTTGTATGACAGCTAGTGGTATTTTTTTCCACTCGGCTTGGAGAAGACATAGAAGTTCCTTCCCCGATTTTGCACGGGTAGTGCGAATTCGGCGATGCAACTCGTCCCAGAGGTTCTCGATAGGGTTCAGGTCTGGACTCTGGGAAGGCCAGTCCATTCGATGAACTCTATTGGCACCATACCAAGCCTTGGTTAACGTCGAAACATGACAACTGGCATTGTTGTGTCCTGAAAGTAACAGGGGTCCAACCCGTAAAACTGCCACAACTTAGGAAGCACATTGTCATCCAAAATAGTGCAGTAGGCATCGGAGTTGAGCTTACCATGAATGGGGACGAACGGTTTCAGCTTATATCAGGAGAAACACCCCCAGACCATAATTCCACCTCCGCCGAACTTGACTGTTGGCACAATGCATTCTGGCAGGAGACGTTCTCCAGGTAGACGCCAGACCCAGACCCTGCCATCCGAACGGTAAATGTTGAACCTTGATTCGTCACTCCAAAGAACACGTTTCCACTGATCTACGGTCCAATTTCGATTTGCTTTGCACCACATTAACCGAGCAGCACGGTTGGACTTTGTGATTAAAGGCTTATGGGCAGCGGCACAACCATGAAAACCAAGCAGATGTGCTTCCTTACGTATGTTATTAATTAAAACAATACTCCCGGATTGCCTGTTGAAACTCCTCGCGGATGAGGGCCATCGGTTGGGTGCGGTTCTTCCAAATTTCTCTGGACAGCACTCGTCGATCTCTATCTCCCAGTTTCGTTGGTCTGCCGACTCGGAGCACATTCCGACAATCACCGCTCACCTTTCACTTCTTAATCACATAGGCCACTGTCGATTTTGGGTACTTCAGCTCGCTAGATATGTCCCTTAAGGATCGGCCACATTTGTGATACCCGATAATTATACCTTTCTCGAAATCAGAGAGCTCCGAACTGCGAGGCATCTTGCATGTGACTAAAGCCGATGCTGTTTCCTACACGATATATACCGACGGAGTCCGTGCTGTACCTTAGGACCGCAGATATCGTCATTTGCATAGGTGTCCAAATACTTATTGGTAGTCAGTGTATAATTTGATGAAGTGTCCTGATGAATTCTTAGATAAAAAAACTGACATCTGAATGAATTTATTGGAAGTTTATCTCTCCTAGAGCTTCTCACTTTGGAGGATTCTGGAAGGCAGGTACTAAATCCTTTAAGTTTTATCTTAAAAGTGCAGTTGGAAAGCATAGTTTCTTGCATTTTTGAAGCAAACTAGAGGAATTTTAAATTCACCCCCAATACCGCTTAATCCGATGACACCAGTGATTTTAAAAGCATTTACATACGCACATTTTGTAGTTGGGCGACCCTTAACATCTATAACTGAGCCTGACCTTACTGATTTTTTTAATAACTCTTTGAAACGCTGGCAGCGCAGCACTAAAAGTTACCCAACATTTTCGGAAAAGGTAGAAAACAATTATATTAGTCATTTACAATAACGATTTAAATGGTATTTTGCTGAGGATAACATAGGAAAGGGCATTATAGCTGTAGTAAAGGAAGACAAGATGCCCATTGCAACTTGGTTACTGGAAAAAAATCCAAAACCTAATTTATGGTAAAGATAATAGGGTAGGCCGCCCAGACGGTATAGTGGTTAGGGAAGTCTGACTTCGATATCGAAGGGCCCGGGTTCGAATCCCGGAGAAGGGATGGATGTAATTGTCTGTCTGTTCATAGGAGGCAAAGGTGGCCCACGTATTAGGTGCCTCCGTAATAAAGAGAAGGAGGAAAGGCCACCACATCTGGCTTTAGAAGTGGCCGATGCCAGCACAGGCAAGTGCCCGCCATTGGAAAAAAAAATAATAATAGGGTTAGGGATTCAACCAAGTCTGTTCAAATTTGAACCGTAAAAACGAACTTGGACTCTCGAATATGCGCCGAGTATGCTACACTTACACCACGAAGATATCGGGAAAGCAGAAAGAAAGTACCTTATAATATATCAAGTTTATTTTTTAAAGCGAAAAAAACCTATAAACCCAGACGGCAATCAAAAATCCCGGATCTGGGTGGAGGAACCGAGGCGTGGGAGTCCTGATTGAACCTGCTCTTACTAATATAGATGGAAATCAATTAAAGAGTTGATAAAAAATCACGAAAATTTTTTAGACTGTATAGAAAAAATGAAGCTATGGCTATTTAAATAATGTATAAATATTATATATATATATATATATTATATATATATATATATTAAAAGCATAAATGGACGTTTTTTAAAGACAATGTGAAAATAAATGTTGATGTTATAATTAAGGAAAAGAATTTACCACTCCTCAAATGGTCATGTGCTAAAATTCAAAGAGTATATACAAACAAGGACAATAAAATTAGAGTAGCAGAAATGAAAACAGCGTCAGGTCGTTAAAAAAGACCAGTTTCAAAATTATGTTTATAACTATAAATAATTTTTTATATACTGATGAATAAAATATATGAATTTTTATATACTGATATGAATTTTATATAATTTTAGTGTTTTGATGTCTTTTCGCTACCTCATTATTGTAACCAATAGTATATATGCAACATTTCTGTTTTGCATATCAGAGTCTGAAGATTCAGTCCTTTCAGATTTTTCATCCACAAGACGATCTGAAACAGTTTGCTGACCACTTTGTAGTTTATTCGCATCATGTGTACAGCTCATCTGGGTATTTTTAGCAGTTGGTGTATGCTTATTTTCCTCTATTTCCTGGGAACCAGTTCCAAATTTTGCATTAGAGTTATGAATTGAGTCCAATTCTTTACAAACGAAAGTATCCTGGTTTGGAATGAAGTTTGTGCCTGTACAAATTGTATTATGAGACACACAATTAGTTTCTGAAGATGTATTTTTCTGCAATACTGGAACATTCTGTTTAAGGTGTGCATCAACTTCTCCCATCTCTGCATCACAGGAATTGGATCACAACGTAGGTCCGGTGGCTGAGGTAGCTGATGAGGAGATTATTAGGAATACGGGCTCCATGCAATGCTTCTGTTATAGTGGGCCACTACAAAGAATCGAATGCGCTTTGTAAACCCAGACTAAGAACGGCTGCATGGCATTTGTTGCTTTTAATTGCTCTCACTTCACGTTGAATAATGTCTAGGGCATTTAACGTAGATCTCTTTTCTCGAAATCCAAACTGAATCTCAGAGATTGTGCCACTGATTGTTAAGTGATACTTCAAGCGCATTACCGCTAGCTTTTCGTATACCTCCCCCAGAGCCAGGAGCAGGCAGATCGGCCTGAACGAAGCCGGGTCAAAATGGACAACAAGAAAGACAGAAAAGCTAATTAACCTAAAATAATTGGTTAATAAAACTAAATGCATACTCTACAATGTTATTCATTGCCCAGCTGGCGCTGTGTTGAGAGCAAAGCGTCATCTATGTATAAAAAAAAATAACCTGTATGCATATTGCCCACAGTATGTGATGATTGGGTTTAAGTGGATTGCAGACCCATTGAGTGCGTTACAGACCCATTGAGTGAAGAACTGCAGGCCCGTTAAGTGTATTGAGTTTCATAAATAAATGTGTGACATTGTCCCAAAGTGAGTGAGCTTATGTCTACGTCAACTATTTCTTTTTATTGTGGGCTATCGACCAAACGTAATTACTTCTGATTTGTAACAGTGCCATTTCTTAAGTTCAACATTTATTGAAAACTATTAATTCAGCTAATTCTTTTAATCTGACTAATTGTTTTACCGGCTTCTAAATTCAAGAATTCTTATTTTTACACTATTTAGTTGTTATACAATATCATTTGCTTAGGGTCACATTGGTGATGATTAATTAAAATGAAAAAAAAATTAATGGCATTCTTTAAAAAGAAATTAATGTCCTTGCATTTTAATTTAAATTAAAATAAGGTATTTATTTTTACACTAATTTTTGAATTGTGTATTAATTTGGTTTCACAATCACCCAGATACAATTCAGAAAAGGGACTCTGTTGAAATTTTTTGGCTGCTCCATGAAAAAGACCAAAGAACTTTGCTTATTAAGTATTTGATTAAATATTAAGTATTTTGATTTATGTTATATTATTGAGTTGTTTTGTTTTGGTTTCAATTTTGATTTGCATCTTTCCTTTTAGTTGATCGCTGTAGATAGATATATATAATTATATATATATATAATTATAAAATACATATATATATATCTGAATAACACCCAAAAGTATAGTGCAGCTAAAAAAATAAATTAAGCAAGTAGGCAAACTACGTAGAATATATTGTAACAGACAGTGCATTCTTATTCTTATATCACATTACATAAAAAAAATATCATAATTAAATTTTTAAAAAATGCATTTAAACGTTGCTTACTTTTTCTTAAAGTTGATGTGCCATCACAGAGCTCTTCTAATACCTGTTGTAAACCACTCATGTACGTAATCAGCGTATCCAGTGCTTCAGGCGAACAGAGCCTCCAGTGATCTTCCAAACATACAAAGGTATCCAGTATATCCCTTTACCGAAAAGATAAAGATTAAAATATTAAAAATACGTTTCTGGTAGATATAATCAAGTGGAGAACCCATTTAATATTATACATGACGACAGATGGGCCACCAATCATGAAATAACTTATCCAAGCATTTACATTAATTGTGCAGAAATACAGACTGACAAATCTCACTTCTGTAAAGAATTAACGTTTATTTTAATTAATATGTTATTTTCTTATGTTAAATTTTCCGACATCTTCATTTTCCCTGTAATGTAAGCAATTTTTTATAATGAAATTAAACTACTATAATACTTAAAACTAATGGTGCAGGACTGATTAAATTTCCTACACCGAATCTATAGGTTGATATTAATACCAATTAATTAATTTTATCTCGTAAACTAAACTAAATATATTAGTTCTTTTTTAGTGCTTTGGTGCAACCGAGTTGCTAAGACCGCTGAGTATTGAAAGTTCTGCCTGGGTTCGATACCAAGCAAACTTGCTGCATGGTTGTTTTTCGTGGTTTTCCTCATGTGTAACGTGAATACGAAACAGTTTCCATTAGCAAGCCCTACGCGAAGACATCTTTCCCTCAGCCAGACAGCCCTCATGTGCTTTGCCGAGTGCAAGTAAACTAATCCAGTACCTTGGTATAAATTCATATTGTATTTCATCAGTAATGAAACTTCATATCAACTCAATCTAAATGAAGGGCTCCCAGCGAGGGCGTGAAAGGGTGTCGATGAAATTAATAAGAGGGAGAATGATGATCAAGAGGTCGATTGTGGGCAGGAAACCTAATATAAATCGGCAATTGATCGTCATAATAAATATCTCATTGATTACAAAAAAATAATAATTTGTTAATATAAATCTGTAATATAACTGTAAGGAAGAAATGATATAAAATAAATATACTGAAAAGAGGTTCATAAAAATTATATAATCTGTATTTAAAATCAATATTTTTCATGCAATTAGGGGGAAAAAATCGAACTATATTACTGAACCAATTCCCCTTATTATTAAATCCACTGACTTTTCTCTCTTCTTACCTAGAAAAAACTAGATTTAGTCAAGGCAATAGTTTGCTATGAAAAACAAGAAACAGGTTGAATACTTCTGAGCAAGATGATTTAAAAGTTAAGTAATTTTACGCCAACTATAAAATATATTGCATCCATGAATTGGCACAGAAAATCGAATTTGAGCAATTAGAATATGCAATGTTGTTTCTGAAAACTTAATTTCATATTTAAAATTAAATTAATGACCATACAACTGATTATAAAACGTAAATCTAATAAACCATTTTTCTCAAAACTTCTATTCATAATCTTATCTGAATTGTTATCTTTAAATAATTTATATGCAGTTATTCGTATTATGGTTATGTTACGTACTGTATATTATAGAGAAAATTGTAAGAAGATCGATGGTTTTTTTTTTTTTTTTTTTTTTTAAGTGAGTGAATGTAGGGAAAAGGTTGGAAAACTCTGATCTAGTGTGACTTTTTCTATACCTCGTTAAAATCTCTATAACTTTGTGGTGTTGCGTGGCCCCAACTTGTCCGCAACAATAGTAGTGACTGCTATGAACTGGAAAGTACACAAACTCTTAAGAAGGGTTTAACTCCCTTTTTATTCCACTTTAGAAGTTACAGATGCGTTCACTTGACGCTCACAAATTACGCCGACCCGGCGGTTAAATAAAAATAAGAAAATACAACTACAAATAAATAATAACAAGTCACTACCTACGAGTCTCTCTAAACGTGACTAACTTAACCTCGTTCTAAGATACCGCTGAGATTTCAGCAAACTTTCTGAATATCACGTTGAAAGATTAACTAACTGCCGAAGGCAAGCACACAGGCCGAAACGCGGGTTCTTCAATTTCTACCTAACTAGCCACCTCCGCGCTCGTGAAAAAGAAAGCACACTTCGAACTCGTTTCCTTCTATTTAACTCAGAATTACTTCCGCTGAAAATTTGAATCCTTGCGCGTTCTACTAAAATTTACATACTCTGGCATTGGCAATTCCAGGGGAAAGTAAGGCTTGACAGGAAAGATAGCTTAAAATAAATGTTAGTTAAAATAAATATAAACCCTACATTTGCCGCTGCCAGAATTTGGAAAACTTGGAAGCAGGTCCTACAAACGACCTGTTGAAAAAGTTTCCATAATTCTGAACTAAATTCAAGAGCCTCGTTTACATAAAAAAACTGTTTTCTCAAAATTAGAATAAATTTCTGTAGATACTTATTAATTTATCTCTCTCTTACAGCAACCTTTCCTGGACTTCAGCAATCAATCTGTTCTCTTCCTTCCAGCATCTGGAAGGAATAAGTATCAGTATCTTTCTAAATACATTATAATTTACACTTTCTTGACACTGAATAAATTTTTTTTGTTTTTGAAACGATTTATTTTCCTTAGTTAACTGCTTAAATTCACATTCATTCAAGTATTCAAACATGAATTTAACTTTACCCTGGCTCTCCACCATGTGTGGTGTCAAACGGGAATATTCGTGTTTTAGTATTACAACACTTCCCCTAACCACCATGATTTGTTAGAATTCAACGACCAAATAGACACACCTTACTCGACATTCTACAACTCGATGAGCTACTTTAACATTCTTAAAATTCAAGTGTAGGTGGAGAACCCTACAAAACACATTCATTCTAACTTCCCCCTCATTCATCTTTAGACATGCAGGCTTTCGCTCTAAAGCATGATTTTATCTACAGTTTAATACTTAAATTTGAATTCATTGCTTTTGAGCATTTACTTTTAGCATCTAAAATTTTATGCTTCTAGACTAAATTCTACTTTTACATAACATTTCAAGTATTTACGTATATTTACAAAATTCTAATACATATGATTTTTACAATTTACCATAAAATGAATAAGAGAAAAATAAATTTTACTTTACTCATTCTTCGCCAAGCTGGCGGCACTGAAACTAAATTTCTTATTAATACAAGAATACGAAGTTATTTTTATCTTCGGCCAAATTTAGGCTTTAACATAACAGAATTAGTCTTTCGACCAACAGAAACTGCTTGTTCTTAGATTTTATACTTAAAGAAAATAATACTTTTGCCTTAGCTAAATAAAGTAAAACAAAACTAAGTCTCAACCGAGACATATTGACTTAAACATAGAACTTCGTACTTTACGCATAACATTTCGGAACAAAAGAAAAAAAAATTTTATAGAAGATTTTAACTTATCTTTGAGTTTTCGATGATTGGAAACTCCGACATCATCTCTTCTGGCAAAATTGTCCCACGTTATAGAGGTTTCATGGACGTCAATCGTTCTCCTTACTGTGTTTTCCGAGTGTCGTCCACATTTTTTTTCTTTTGCGCCCTCTGCATGCTGGCCTCTTGGAGTGTAGTCGTCGGGTTGCTGTCTTTTCCGTTTTGCCCCTGGACGGCTGGTCTTGACGTCCTCCGGTCTGGAGTCCTGCTTGAATTTCTTCTGTTGGTGGTGGTCTTTTCGTTCCTCCTGCTGTCTTTTTGTTCTCGGAACGGCGGCCTTGTTTGCACCTGACTCTCTGGCCCTGGAAGCGTTCTTCCTTGATGTAGAATTTCTACTGCGATACGTTGTAGGTGGTGTTTTCCTCTTTACCAAAGGTTTCTTTACGCGGCGGCGTTGCTTTTCTTGTATTTCTTAAATGCTGGAGTCTGAAATTTTCCTTTCTTCTTTTCGGTACCGTCGCATGGGTTGTAGAAGGGCTAGGTTCTCTCTTCAGTTCTCTGCTTCTTGGGTGGTGGAACGGGTGACGTTATTTCTGGACCTTCTACTTCTTTTACGCTTGAGTCCTGCAAGAAACTTTTAAGGATTTCAAAATCATTTTGATTATAGTATTTTTTCACCTGGTCGGGACTTGCTTTACAGATTTCCCCTCTCTCGTTCTTAAGGTACAATACGACTCCCTTTGATTTCCTGAATTACATAGGGGCCTTCAAATTTTGGAGCTAACTTTGCAGTAAAATTGTCTGGGGCACTTTATAAAGAAAATTTCCGCTTCAACACTTTATCCCCAACTTTAAAATCTGCTTCACGGCGTTTTCTATCATAGTATAATTTCTGTCTATTTCTATTTCTTGCCGTATCCGAGCTTTTAAGCGCCTGATCAATAAGTTTTTGCACATCTTTCTGTTTAAATTCTTGCTCTCTTTGTTGCACAAAGAATAATTTATCTAAAGGCGTAATTAACTTTCGTCCTAAAAATAATTCTGCTGGAGTTTTTCCCCGTAGTATCGTGATTTGCCGTTCTTAAAGCATAAGCTAACTTCATTTATGTAGCCATCCCAGCGCTTGTGATGTGTGCTAACGTAACTTCGAATTATTTTTACAATGTTTTTATTAACTCTTTCTGCTATGTTTGCCTGTGGTCTATACGGAACCATTTTGATATGGCGTATGCCAAGTCCAGTGCATATGTTTTCAAATATTTGACTAATGAATTGTTTTCCGTTATCGCTAATGACTTTTATCGGTGCACCGTATTTTAAAATGTATCTGTGTAAGAATGCATCTGCGACTGTTTTGGCTGACGCGCGTTTAAGTGGAACAATTTCTGTCCATTTTGAAAAATGATCTACTAATTACTAAAAGAAAACGATTTTTATTTAACTCGCTCTGGGGGAAAGGGACCAAGAAGATCTATGCCTAAAATTTCATTCGGAAATGTAGCGCGAATGCTATTTAAGTACCCGGCCGGGCTGTAATTAATATCATTTATTAACTGACATTGATTGCAGGACCTGACATACGCAGTTACTATTTTGTATAATTGCGGGAAATATACCGCCTCGCGTACCCTTTTTAAAGTCTTTCTGACCCCTAAATGACCCGCTGTTTTTTTCGCGTCGTGTAATTCCTTCAAAATGCTTAATCGAAGCGAGGCTGGGATGACTGGTTTGTACTCAAGATTTTCGTTTGTTGTTTTTTCGTATAAAATAATAAATTATCTATTATTTCATAGTTTTCTGCTCTATTTCTTATCGCATCG